TTTCCCGTATGATTCCTGTTCTAGTTTCCCGTAATGTCAGACACGTGATAGAAGTTCGCAATCACGTATCTGCTCATCCGTAAACACACAACCGATACATTCTTTGTGATTGGGTGTTTCGAAAACGCAGATACAGTTTACATTAAAGCACATCGATAAATCAAATTAACTTATTTGGAAACCGTTTCTGTAAACTTCACGACGGACTATAACAACGTGCTAAACAACACATATATATATATATATATATATAAGGTAGTATATTTGCGTCATATTGTGAATTAGGTTAATATTTTAATATTTTCCGTCAAATCACAATTTTTAATAAGATAATAAAATATAAAATATTTAAAATATCATTTCACGTTCCGCATCGAATGATCGATTTACAAATTGGAACGTCTCTTACGACATGTTTCGGTTATATTTAACCGTCCTCAGGTATTCAAAATTGTGATTTGACGGAAAATATTATATATATAAAAATAAAATTACATATTTATACACAGCAGTAATGCTACGTCCCAATGCATTATACGGAATGTGACGATAAATTTTTTTACGACACTCGCTAACCATAAAATAAATAACTATTACATCAAGGACTCGGCAGTGGGGCCAACTGCGAAAAGAAGTAACACGCAGTAACTTTGACTTACTATCGTAATATTAAACTGAGTAATTACCAAATGACACTTGTAATAAAACTTGAAGATTAAACACAGCTTATAGCTCGTAATTGAACACGATTATATGCTGGTTCAAAGCTGAGAAATAGAAAATTAATTGGAATTAATAAGTTTCATAATTCAACAATCACTGAGTATAACCTATATTTGTTCTCATGGTATTATATTTTGTGCAGGGGACATAATTCCAATGGTTTACCGACATAATTGCCTGCTATGTGTAATTAAAGTTTATGACTCATTACCTTTATATTGGAAAATTAAATTGGAAGTGTCATTACACTCAAGGGTGTTAGACTGAACATGACAAACAAATGTACACACGCGTAAAATAAACTGAATAAAAATATGAAGAGATTACAATAACTTTGTACACTTAATTATTATGAATGTGATTTCCATATTATTACCGTGGTTAAAACGACACCAACCCTTTAATACCAAAGCTTATCTGCGTAATATTTAATAATTCAGTTCGTACCGAAAAGAAAACACAGTACTTCACAATTACAAAGATTAATTTGTTAATTCTGTTCAAGGAAATAATCGGTGTTTATTCTGGTAATCATACGAAACATATAAACACAAAATGAAGGGTTACCGACTGTTAAAGCAGGTGGTACATATAGTTACCACTGCGTTTTAAAGGGATAATACGCATCTGTACCGGATATAAAAGTTAATGGATACGTCGATAAGTCGTCTTCTTAACCCTGTCACTTGACATCAAAATTTGTGCTGTGTTTTTACCTATATCAGGGATAATGTGTAGTGTTGGAAAAATATATCGGAAGGAGACAATCCCAAGAAAGTTTTCTTCAAAGCTGATTATATGTTCAGGAAAACTTTAGACTTAAATAAAAACTTTCATGGCTCATGAAATTTTAAAAAAAATTTCTCTAGAGATCAGCCAAAGTTGAGTCAAATACCAACTTTTCAAAGACTAGCTCTGTCTCCATCATCAGGGTTAACTTTAAAAGTTAGCAAAAACTTATACTGACGCAGTTGTGCGCCTGTGATATATTTAAAACTATTAACAACAGATAATAAGCATTAATCGAGATACAACACGCGATAGGCTAATCATCACAGCGCATGCTAGAAATTTGGGGTTTTGCCCTTCGTTTCTGAAATCCCCCCCTTTCGGAACAAACAATTTTTGGATTGGGCGCCGTTCTTGTATCGTGCTTAATTTCCGAGATACACAAACAACCATCACTGGTACTTGAACCCAGAACACCTTTTCCGAAGTTTCAACCTTTATAAAATCTCTTCCTGTTTTAAAGAAATAAATATGCCAGGTTTGGTTCAAAAAAAAAATTGTTCATTTTCGACTTATAAGCGAAAACACACACGAAATTATATTGAAGATGCAACTGGTTTCTATGGAGACTGACGTATGTATTAACGTAAGCTATATTTCTCCTTAAATTCTTAAGGTTTACAGTTGTATTATGAATTTTGGGTAATTTTAAAATATTATGTTACAGTTCGCTAATATACCATTTGAAATCCAACTATGTACTCCCTTGTCAACAAAGGCCTATACAAAATTTAATTAATCCCTTTAAATAACATGCAAATTCTACACAATGGATGTAGCTAGGAGGAATAGTTCTAATGTGAAATGTTACCTCATTAGTCTGAGTTTGGTGGCATTTGGAGTGAGGCGGTCGATTTTGGTACAAATCTGGCCTCAGTCACCGTGAAGATATTTTAACATTTAATTTACTTAAAATTGGCTTTTATAAATTTTCTACACCGAATGTAATTAGCATAGATAATGGTTTAATAAACTGTATTACTGTTCAACACAAACAAGTCTGATACCCGTAAATTTTTACGGGTATGAAACTATTGTTAGTAATATAATATTACGGGTCGAACACTTCCAATCACAAGAATATTATATATCATTGCGATATTTATAAAATTCACTGAACGATCTTTAAATAACTTGTAAATATATACGAGAATGGAGCGTTATATATTACACTCATTTCTAGCTGAAGATTTTAACGAAAAATACGTTCTAACAAGACGCAAGATGACTTTCTTTTGTCAGATGTTAAGTGGCGAGAGGGAAGTATCTCGATTCTAGGAAACTCGATGTACAGAAAACAAATAAACAAACAAATCCTATTGTTAAGGTTAAACAAAAGAAAACCTGGTTCTGATTCCGACTATTTGACTGTACGAATTTAATGTTAAAGCCACTCTATTTCATTTTGTACGATTAACTTATATTTAAAAGACGTGAAGGTAAATTACAAAGTCTAACGAATTCAAAACAGCAACTTTGAATAGAATTTCTTTCTAACTGAAGAGAAATTGGAAATCCCCTCTTTATATATCGTCTCTAGTTCTGTAAGAAACCATATCAAGACACTTCTACGTTCAAACTGTGCATTGGAAGTTATGTTTAAGCCCTGAAAACTTTGTGCGTTAAGTTTAAAATACAAGTTTATTGTTACGTTTTAATTAATCGGATGATAATGTAATATTAACAAATACAGACATCTTAATTTTGCATATTTTGTTTTATGATAATTCTTTTATTCAAAGCCTCGTGGCACACTTGTCAAAAGGTTGAGAACCTTACGATATATTTATGACATGACATGAATTAATGTAAAAAAAAACGTTGTTTAATGTAACAAATTGGACAGACGACTAACTAACAAACAAACAAATATTCACTAAGAATGTGCACACAGATTTTACAGTACGCTTCGACGCAGTTTGGAGTCGACTGCAGTTTAACAGCGTTCGATATATCGATCCATGAATTCGTAGTTAAAGATTCTTTATATTATTTACAAGTAGTTTAGAGGCGCAAATACGGAAGATATAATTAAATATATCAACATGTCTCGAATCAAACCGTCCAACGTAGTCATAATGTAACTATACATATTAAAGTATATTAATTTTTATTTAAAATATTAATTATCTATATTTATTACATAATACTGTTATGGTGATAACGTTAATGAGATCGCGGTTTATATAAAAGCATGAAAAACACTGGTTGAAAGACGTCGGGAAAACAGCCACTTGCAAGACCAAGATAGAGAAGAAAATGTGAATAATATAAGTTTATATTTTAGACAGACGGGAGACGTATGAAACATGACAAAGAAAAAAGACCTGCGGAGAGTTTTCCATTAGTGATATTGAAACCACCCGTTCTATTAGCAGATAATTACTCTGTTAATACTTGCGTCTGAGACTGTCATTAAGTCTGTAGCTAATTCTACCGGACTCCACAACTGTGAAAAACTCAAATCCTACAAGTAACTTCAAGGCTATAATTCTAACCTAACCTACAATTATATGACAGCACTAGCTGGAGGTTAAGTATAAATAATGATAAGTAAAACTCACTGGCCTTTCTGGGTTAGATTTTTTAAATCCGTGATATATTTATGTTACATACGGCGAGATAACGTGTACAAAAATCAATGTGTTCTAGAACTGAAGGGCAGAATTAAAATACAAATTTTTGCTACGTATCTGCATAACAGACGAGTACTCGTTTGTGAACATTTTTTAAAATTTATTTTGCATTGTGTACATTATTATAAACCGCCACGGTGGTCTAGCGGTTAGAACGCTGGCCTTGTAATCCTGGGGGTCTCGGGTTCGATTCCCGGCGGTGCCCGAATTTATAACTTGTGTTGGGCAAGGCCGTGGTCTAGGCAACACGGAGTTTTCCTCCGTGGCATCCCAACAATTACTCCATGCACACACAGAAGAAGGCAATGGCAAAACACTTCTGGATCATCTGCCAAGAACGTAAATGAACAGGTCCCAGTCCGAGAAAAGGATGGAAGGATCCTGTTCATATGGACCTGTCGTCAGACAGAACACTAATAATAAATAATAACATTATTATAACCGTCGCTATGGTAATGTTATTAAGGGATTTTTGACATTATGAAATATATTCATGACTGCTTTATATTTTAGCGTCATTTTTGACGAGTAATTTTCTATTTTCACGATAACAGCTTTATCGCGTGTAAGTAGAATGTGGATATTTCACAAGTTTACTGTCTGTCTTGAATACCATTGCAAGTCAAGGAAGTTTCAGCTAACGAAGGTTGGGATTTGGAGATTTGTAATGTAGGTCACACAGGGCTCAACTGCAGATTTCTTGACTTACTGATTGATCCAGAAACTTCTCGTAGAATGTATGGCCCCTAAGCCATCAGTACTTTCAACAAAGTTCCTCCTACATGCAAAGAATTAAGGGGAAAAAAAGGGGGCAGGAATAGCTCGTCAAACATAACCTAAAACTTCCCACAGGCTACAGACTCGAATGGAAAATAATTGTACTCGTTTTTGGTTTATTAATCCACGCAATTCTAAATGCTTAGATGACCATGTTAGTTTATTGATTAAACGATGCTTTATCAACTATATTTATCGTATTATTATCATATAAGCAGACCATCTAACTCTACAGAACTTTCTTAACAACTGAAAGATTCTCAGCTAAACAAAAATGTCTGCATTTTGTTAAATGTTCCTTTCCGTACCCAAACGACCCCTGTTTAATATCCATCTTGAGCTACACGAATCCAATCTACACCTTCCTTCCAGGCTCTACGTCCAAATTTTACAAATTTATCATAGAACCTAACTAAAAGTCTTGTCGACTTTAATGTCCTCGATTTTATGATCCAAATCATATTTTATGAAGAGCAGAATCATTTTGTCATTGTGATAACCGAAATTCCGTCCTGATGATGATACTACATAAACGTGGACTCGTACTTTCTTGCCGCGGATGTGAGCAGACGAACTATCTGAAAGCCTCAAAGCAGAACTACAACACAGCTTAAGTTAAGTAAAATTAATACTCACTCTTTTCCTGAACTCTGGAGGGATGCCACCTGGTAACCGTGCTACCATCTTCATGGCGTCTCGCCATTGCGTGAATCCACTGTCTCCCGGATAAGGCATTACACTGAAGCGAATTCGCGTGTCCTGACCTGCAGCAACAGAAAACTCAAATAAGACACCGCGTCATTTCTATGACCTATCTCACAAAAAACTTTCTTCAGATGCATCATAAGTACGTCACAATGCAAGTCTTATTCCAAGACCGAGATAAACTCCATATCTGACGCTTGAGGCTACAGAAAAATGAGCATTTATACAGGGTGTCCAACTTAAAACGCGATATTTGTGATATTTGCTGACGTCAATATAATACTTCCTTATCAGGATACGCTTTGCTCAATGCTTTGAAAACATCAGCAGAAGAATATTTGTAATTCTTTTCTTATACCTTTATCACAAATTCTATTGTGGTCTTCAAAAACTATTTCTTTAAACAAGAACCTTCTTCTAGATACAAATTTGATAATCGTGGATAGAAGTAAAAACTAAAATCACGGATATTTGTTTCATAAAAGATTCATCATGAAGTCCTTCTGAAATTATGCATGCTTTTAAAAACGTAGGCCCTGAAATTCGAATTAATTTTTATAAGTTTTTAAAAAAAATTTAAACTTCTTTTAGATTTTTGAAAAAGTAATACGTAACAATTTAGACAACATTCATATGATTCAGAATAGTCCACTGTTTGGGCTCTCTTAAACACGGCAATAACCACTCAGAATTAATAAAATCCGAGACAAATCTTAACCAATCAAACTATTACCAATTTCTCATGCAGAAATCTTCAGAGAATTAGATAATTATTACTGAAACAACTATCCTCACTACCTCATCCTATTGTCTAGACATCCTTTATCGATTTCCAGTTGATTATACCACATCTTTTAGTTCAGACAATGTCCCCACAATCCAATAAACAATCCGACTGTCATTTCGGTCTAACAAACAAAGCCATTTGGTTTATCCCCGTAATCCATTCAAATACAATTCACGTGGACTAGAAATTAACCTGTCATATCCCAGGTTGCTTATACGTCCTTAATGGTCTTGTCTGTTCACTCAGATCCAAATTACTGGAACAAACCCTGCTGGTAGGTGAATTATAGTCACTCTGTCCTGGGATTTCACTCTGACATACAACCTCCGTCACTAAAATCTTGCGTTTTCGAAGGAAAATTCACATTATAATAAACAAACTGTAATTATTATTGGCTGTATTAATTTCGTCTATCATTTAGTATTATAAAAAATAACACAAAGTTTGTGTAACTGGAACAATTTTAGTCTATAGAGAAACGTTTTGTGTTTATAACAAGATACTTCCGTTAAAATAAACTAAATCTCAGTCACTGGACAACCACGGTCAACTGAAGATCATGTTTCTTTAACGGGCGATAAACAAAATTTGATGTTATATTCGTAATAGCAAACGACAGACAGAAATAATAAAAGTAAAATAACATCACTTTATAACTGAATTAATCTCCACGGAATAATCGTATTTAAACTTGTATTAAACACAATCGCCCAAAGAAATGTACATAAAATCAACAAGAACCATTTTACATAATTAACCCTTTAAAGCTGAAGTTCGTCTGAATAGCATTTAATAATCAAGCCCGTACCGCAAAGAAAACACAACACTTTACCATTACACACATCAACTAGTTAACGCTGTTTACACTGGAAATCATTAGAAATCTATAAATACACAAGTAAGAGTTAAATATTGTTGTAGAAAGTGAGAATATATTTACCAGAATATTTTAAATGATTACAATTCAAGTACGAATAGTCAATATGGAAATACCTCGAAGAGAGAATAACAACAGCATGGTTCTTAGATAAATAAATAGTTTGGTCATGACACGATAAAGGCTTATCAACACGGAGGACCGAGTTCACTTCGTATTTGTGGAAATGGACACTGAACACAGCTGTTTCAACCTCGAAGCTGATTTGTATTCAAAATAGGCAGATATCCTTTGCGGGTTATGGAAATTGTACTCAGATAATGATAAATTTGTAAGAACAAAATTAGAATCTTTAATCTGAAGGTCTAGGCAACACGGGGTTTTCCTCCGTGGCATCCCAACAATTACTCCATTCACACACAGAAGAAGGCAATGGCAAACCACTTCTGGATCATCTGCCAAGAACGTATATGAACAGGTCCCAGTACGAGAAAAGGATGGAAGGATCCTTTTCATATGGACCTGTCGTCAGACAGAACAAACAAAACTTCCAGTTTGTATAGAAAATCTTCTCAATATCAAAGTGCTGTTAGGTCAGTAAAATCGAAGACGTTGCTTTGGTTCAATTCTGAAGGGTTTTGACGGTGGTGGATTACACTTCAAATTGTTCATTATCTGGACTTTTTCCATCGTTCTTGTCTAAAAGAAAGAAACCGCGACGTTTCGGAAACTGGCTCTTATTACTTTGGGTTTCGTGTTGGAGGGAGCAGACAACAAACTTGCTTATACTGAAGGTATTTGAGAACAAAGGTTTGAAGACACGATTTGAAAGTAACAAAGTCAATATAAATTACACAATGAAAATATTTTTAAGTTTATTTAATCAAAAAGAAAAACTGGAACAGGAGTGGGAATATGACGTGTGTCATTGTCTAAGATTATTTGCAAATATATATAATTCATTTTAAAAATTTACAACCCGACATACTGTAAAAGAACTGTACGTTCTAGTCTAAAAGGACGTGAGAGGGAGTCTGAAGATATAACAAACAAAATTCTTTCACAAATACTGTGATCAAACACTCCAGGATATAAAGCCGCCAGACAGTGACGTTTTGGAAAAAAAAGAAAAATTCTAAAGTTATTATATACAACCTCACAAAGGTATGTTATAGAAATATGACAAGCCATATAAATGCTTTTGACAGTGGCATTCGGGACAAAACATTGTAAATATTACACAAAGCAAAAAATTGTAAGAAAAATGTTATTAAAATATGACAGGATTTATAGGAACATACAATTGATATAAACACGTGTGTTCAGCGACGAGAACATTACTAACCACAGCGCTGTTTTATGTCAAATGTAATGAAACCAAGCGGTTAGAATATGAATATTACTGTCAAGACCTGGGTTCGACCCAAAGAAATACATGCAGGACAGTGGGGTAGTGTCTTCTCCCAAATACTTCTGCCCTTCGCCGACAATCGTTCTAACAGTGCGTCCATAATCAAATGTCTCCGAGATGTGGGTTAGAATCTGTCAATAAATAGGCTGACATTTTGACAAACTTCGTTTTCTACACGTGACTTCAATTGTAATCCAACACGTGTCAGTCACAGGAAGAAAACTTTAAGTCTCTAGAAAATACTTTGTGAACAAAAAGTTTCAAAGACTCAAAGCAGACAGAGGTTTGTGTAATGCAAATAAGTCCTCGTATGTGATGTATTAGGCGTCTTGAACTTTTAAAGCGTGGCTGATTACATAAAAACTCTTTCAAGAATATTAACAGTAATAAAATACAGACGTATGGAAACTTCCTAACTTATCGAATAACAACGCTGAAAATATTCCAAAGCAACAAGGTGTTTAAACACGAACACGCAGGAGAATCTGTAAGAAATTTAGCACTTTTTAATGAAAATCGAATGTTCGTTACCGTGTTCACAAAACCCCATCACTGATACCTCACCTAAGTAAAATTAACCCAGTCTACATCATCATAGTAATTTGCACTAAAATTCATTTTAATATTGTACTCTCATCGACGACTAGATGTTCCAAGTATCTTACCTTTCACTTTTTCAGACTCAAACTCCGTATGCATTTCTTATGTCTCCCATGCGCACTACACAACCCAAAATCTCACCCTCCTTGATATCATAATTCTAATAATAATTTCCGAGATATATTTTTGATATTGTTAGGAATCGAATAATACGTATTTCATTTTGTATATCTCCAGTTTTCATTTTAAGTAAATTCAACAGCTGGTTAAATCTCTTTTAAATATTCACGAGTTTAAGCCAGTAGATTCAAAATCCCACTGCTCACATATAAAATACGTACAGGGTTTGGAAACGAAATATATGCACATTTATAATGTTAGGAGCTGCAGGAAGTTTAAGGCGTAAACACGATTAAATTTTATAATTTTTAAACTGCACCAAAATAAGAATGACTTACATCAAATATCCTTAGAGAAGGCATGAAAACTCAGAATTATGGAGGCTACAAAAATTGGTTAATTGGATATTTGCTGAAACCAGGGGTATCAAAGGACACACAAAGTCAGGTTCATAATTCAAAGACTTTCAAATAAAGTGACGTTTACCCTAAGTCCCCCAAGAGTGTGCTGTTGGTTGTTTTCATTAATTTGTAAACATGTAGAAACGTTTGTGAAAATTTAAAATTGTAAAGGATGGCCATCTCAAAAATTTTTTTTTTGTCTAAATCACTCAGAAAATAAAGTAGGATAAAGCAATGCAAAAGTTAAAATTCTGTAACATTTAAGCGATAACTTCATTAATAAATGTACGGAATTACTGTATTACGTTTGCGCACAGTGTAATTAAGTTACACGGTTTAAATCAACAACTTTTACCGTTCTGAATTCGGTACATTTACATGAGTACCAACAGGAAAAAGTGTATTTACCTATGATTACAAAAAAACCACTGCAGACTTCAGATACGTTTTTTAATCAACAGTGATAAACACACTGACTCTGTAGACAGAAATTTGAGGGTTTTTTATCCTTGTAGTTCCTCTCAGCAACGCCTTTAAAGTGCTGATCACAGCCACCGCTAACTTATACTCTCCGCAATAATATTCATATTAGTGTAGCTTATAACCCGTCAAATTTGACGGGAATAAAACATTATTATGCTGAACAGTAATATAATAACGGTATATTTATATAAATTTCTTTACTAATTAAATTAATCGTGGTAGTCGATAATTAAAATGATTAATACAATCCATCGTATATTTATAGTTAATTTTAGACTCCGCAATAACTGTAAATTCATTAATGGGATTTATTCTACTTACAAAGACCACGCTTTTGAGCTCAAGTTTAAAAGATCCTATTTATAACACTCGTGTTATAA